GTCCCTTGTACTCAAAGAAGCGCGAAGATGTTAATAGAAATCAGATAAATTTTCCTTTCTAATGATACTCTTTGTAAACAAGCACGTTCACATAGAGAGCCTTTACGAATTTTCGAAGATCAAGCGCCAGAACTTTTGGTTTGACCTAGCATATTCTTCAACGACTTTTCAGTGTTTGTTGCATATATATTAGGTCGTTCCAAAGGTAATGTCGCTTTTTTCAAATAAACGCTACAATTCGTGGAAGCAAAATTTCCAAAAGACCTTGGTAGCGTTCGATGCAGCATTTCCTTCCCTTTCTATTGATTACATGATCATTGCACAATATCCGATAAGCTCCAAAAAATCACCAAAATTTGCGGCCCATGCTTTTTAAAAAGGTCAATTTTCACAATTTTTCTAAATTTTTACGATCCTCCGAAGGAGTCCAAGTAACAGGTGGATTGAGCAAACCCTATAGGAAACAGCACGATTTTTTCTACTTTTCTTAGCCCGTCATAATTATTGCCGAGATTTTCCACAGGAATCAGAGAATTTTAGCAGGCTCGTTTCAGACACAAATGCATCAAACACCAATAAATTTTCGTTTGAAACTTACAAAGATTGATTATAAGACACTAATTTTACAAACCAAATCAGCATTCACCGCTTCAGATTAGCAACTTTCGAAAAATCCGGGTACAGCCTGAGGCGCCCTGAAAAACCTGAATCACCATGATTTTATCTTGGAAAACCTTATAAATCGAAAACCAAAAATAACTATTATAAAGAGGAGAAAAAGCTGAGTCGAATGACACCCAAGTCATCTGCCGTAATTGTTCTGGGAGGTTTAGTTGCCCAAATATGGAATTTGATAACACTGAAAAATTGATTCTGCATGCACTAAGAAGCAAACTAAGGAGAAGAAAAAATTGTTTAGTGTCCAATAGGGCTTGCTCTATTTATCTGTTTCTTATATCTTCGGGGAATTAGTACAAAAAATATAGAAAAATAACCGAATGACAAATAGCATAAGTCGCAGGTTTTGGTAATTTTTCAAGAACTCATTAAATATTATACAATGAAATTAGAACCATTAGAAAGAGGATAAAATGCTGCATCGACTGATCCCAAAAGCTCTTGAAAACCTTGGTTCGTCGAAATGTGGCGTTTATTTGGAAAAAAAAACGACATTACTTTTGGAACGACTTAATAGACTTGTATATTCTACATCTGACATGACGACGACTTGCGGGTCTCCCTTTACACTTCTTTTTCAACTACCAAACCTACAGGGATAAGTGGAAAATTTAAGCAAATTTATTATATAGCACGAGAAAGTGCTGTTTTGGTTAACTATAACTCCTTACCTATGTTAGCCCTTTCATGTTGTATTTTGAGTAGTAGGAGACGTGAAGAAAGTGGTGGGTGCCCTTTTGGCTGTAGAGCGACCACAGACGCGACAGCTTTTTGGAATTTCTTTGTGTTCGATTTAGTTTCCGCATAATGTATGTAGTCTCGGTGCCGAGAAAATGCGGTAAAACTTGCGCGTAAACAAATGCTATGTTGCCGCGATTGGGCAGGGCGAAAAAGGGTTATATTGGTAATTTTTTCACTCTCAGATAATAAGTTCATCGATTAGTTCAAAGAGTAACACTGTTGCGAACAGCATACTTAATAACTCCACCTAAATTTTATCGAACTACAAAACCTTCGCACCTTGCCATAGGCCTTCCATAGGCTACAAAGAGGCTTCACCTCACCTGTGCGGTGACTTTCGTAAGCAATATGTTTTATAGAGCTCTGAAAAATTATCTGCTACAATTTCTTGGGATTTTCTAACATCTCAAAGAGTTATTTTTAGACATGATCACCTAGTTTCAAAGAATGTAAACCCTGTTACACTTAAGACGAAAAAATAACCTCTGTTAAAATATGCTAAGAATCTCGTTTCATATTGTTTCCCAAGTATAGTTAGAAGTGCTCCCAATTCAGATAACGTACTCCATAGACCTTCTTAAAGCCAGTACAAGTCAAAGTGAGTTCATGCATATAATGTAAAATCTAGGAGGTTTGGGCTGATGAACGAAGTAAAGCTTGGGAAAAATGGAGATAAAGTCAGTAAGGCATCTCCCCTCAAAAAATCAGAGTGTCGAGCTTTTGTTGCTGACTTACTTAAAATAATTTGAAGTCCGCAAACTGCTCCATTTTCTTGATAAATAGTAAGCCTAAAGCTTGCTTTTGTTACAGCATTTCGGCCTTAAATCTCCCTTTTCTGAGGAATCCATAGCTTCTGCGAATCCTTGAACAGGAGAGGAAATTAGCGTCAGTTGCATACGCCGTGTAATCGTGTGCAACAACAGAAATCAAGCTTATACATTGCCAATATCAAAGACATCTCAGTGTAGGCTGATTTCTCTCTAGAGTGAGTGAGATACTATCAGGCTGTCCCATAAGTTCCGTCCGTTTTGACTTTCAATCGCAATAAATCTTGAACTTCTTGTTTTTAGATAGGTTCCAAGGAACCTTTCGATAGACCAAATCAAGCTCTACAAGATGGCTATCTCGCTTTTGCACCAGCTCTGATTCATCTCGAGTTTTAAGGCGAAAACTGAAAAAATTCAGCTGCCCGGAAAATCGAGAAACAATCATAACTCCGTTTAAAAAGATGGCTAGAAATTAAGAAAACGAAGATTTGATGTCTTGGCAAAACGATGCTGTGCTGTCCCTACATAGATATCTAGTTGTATACTACTAGCCTGTAGAAGTACAAATGTAAAGTTAGCTCTCTAAAGGCACTAGTTCTCGAGAAATAGGGATTTTAGTTAAGGCACCCAACTAAGGCAAGCTGTATTCGATATTTTTTCGAGAACCAAAGTTTGTAGGGAGCTGAAAAGTTACGTTTGTACTTCTACAGGCTAGTAGTATACAACTAGATATCTATGTAGGGACAGGACAGCATCGTTTTGCCAAAAACATAAAAATCTTCGTTTTCTCAATTTCTAACCATGGAAAAAATATGGCAATAGCGTATATAAATGTATTAAATGGATAGTGTTTACGCGAGGAAGTTAGAACTTTTGTAGGGTTTTTATAAATGGAGTTATGGTTGTTTCTTACTCGAGAAGGATCAGAGCTGGTGCAAAAGCGAGAAGGCCATCTTGCAAAGCTTGCTTTGCTCTATCGAACGGTACCCTGAAACATATCTAGAAACAAGAAGTTCAAGATTTACTGCAATTTAAATTCAAAATGGACGGAACTTATGGGACAGCCTGATATGAGATTGTAAAGGAGAGGGTAAGGAAGGATGGGTTGTCCAGGTATGTGTGCAAGAGGACGGGACCGGGGTCGTTTTCAGAGGACATACGCCTGACCTGGCACCCTACTCTGACTGCGAACTTCACGATGCCGAAGCCATGCAGAAAAAGTCAGTTGTAGGAGTTCAATAGTTATCATCAAGTGTTTGCAATGCTTCGCGAACTCATTGCTGGAAAACAATACCCTTCAAGAAAATCTTCATTACTTCTCGAATTAAATCTGTCTTTCCGTGTTGTTGGAAAAATCCAATGTTGATAATGTCATAACTTCGCGGCGTCTTTGGAAGACGAAGAATAGCTGTAGACTTTCGCTGGATAACCAGTTCTCTATTTTACCCTTACATGGCATAATTTTACTTGGTGGATTGATTTATTTGAAAGATTTAGTGATTTTAAACAGTCTCTTAAATGTCAGTTGGCCAAATGAGCGCACATGATGGCAGTTACAAATGGCTTTTTGTCTTCTTTTCTAGGAAAACTTGTCATGGGCCCTGTATAAAATCGGGGCACCTTCGCACAGGAATCAAACATAGTTCCTTTAAGTAGTCTCTTAAGTTATTTAACCCGAATGTTTTGCCCCTAGTGAAAAAAAAAGTTAAGCATGATCTTCTATCAAATAAGCCTCTCATGTGATTCATACTTTCTATTCTATCCATATACTATACACCAAGTTTGGACCCATAATGTTACCTACCATTTTGAAATATGTTCAGAAAAAAAGCTCCCACAACTTTAGCTCAACAACTCAAATACTTTTTTCACAATACTCCGTTCCTAGCCCTTTTGCGTTTACCCACTCAGACAATCGACGGGACCCCTCCGCCGGACCCTCCGAAACTGCCAGAGTCGCGCCGGACCCAGTTGACCAATGAGAGAAGGGCAAATGGGCGGTCCATCGCGGTGACATCACTGGCAGGCAAATGGGAGGCTTCTCCGGCCCTGCTGCAAAGGTCCGCCATTTCTCCGGCGCGACTCTGCCAGATTTGGCGGACTCCGCGCCGGAGAAATTTGCGCGGCGCGTGTCCGCCAAATTTGGAAGAGCCGCGCCGGAGAAAATGGGAGGGGTCCGGAGCAGAAATGGGAGGCCTCCGGAGCAGAAAATGGGAGGTATCCGAAGCAGAAAATGGGAGGTATCCGGAGCAGAAAATGGGAGGTATCCGCCGGAGAAATGGGAGGTATCCGGAGCAGAAAATGGGAGGTATCCGCCGGAGAAATGGGAGGTATCCGGAGCAGAAAATGGGAGGTATCCGAAGCAGGCTGCGTATCGATTTGGCGCGTAGCAAGCAAACGTCTAACTCCACGGTGATGAGTCCTCTGTTTACGCTCTTTGTCCATATTTTAGTCGCCGTTTCTTTGATTTTGTTGTTTTTGCGCGTTTCTTTACCGTTTTTTTTCTTTTCCGCGTTGCTCTTCGTCGCGTTGGCGTTTATGTTGTTGTAAGTTCCTCGTTTTCAGGTTTATGTTTCAAATTTTCGTGCGGTTGCACTCAATCACCTTCAGTGTTTGGCTCTTTCCGACTTGCTGAGACATCGTAGACTATTGATGGAGTGGTTTTTGTGATTAATTCTGGATTTTCGAAACAATGAGGTTAGTTGCGCAACTATCTAGTGTTGTTGTGATGAAAGTATCGTCTAAATTATCCGTTTGTTGCTATCTCTCTCGTACGTATGCTTACCAAGTCGATCGCTTTTCATCAGACGTTGCAGATCCTCACTATATCGTTTTTGGCTTGAAAGACAGGACAAGGCAAGAGATATGTTGACAAAAGTCTTAGAGGCAACTCCAAACGATGTTGAAGTTTTGATAGATCTTGCTCAGCTTCTGGAAGGAGTTGATCCGCATGTTAGTTTACATCATCAATTACATTTTACGAGTTTTGACAACCGCTCTTCTAGAAATCGCTCACTCTCTATGAAAATGCTTGTGATCTCATAAAAACGAGTGAAGATGGTTTACAAATTGATCCGCCAGCTGCTATCTTAAACAATATCGGAGCCTTGCACATGACTTTGGAAAATTGTGAAAGGGCGAAGGAGTACTTCGAAGCAGCGGAAGCTAAGCTCCAAGTAAGTTGCATGTGCTTACAAGGGAATGGCCAGAAATCGAAGTGGCCATTCCAGACATGCTGCATACCGTTAGATGCAGCATGAAGCGCTGACTCTAAATCTGTCTTCCTTACCTGCTTATCGCTTTTCTGAACGAAGCTGTACATTAAATACCATTATTTTGCTAAGAAATTATGTGTGAAATTGAAAATTTGGCCGTACAGAGCCACGTTCGCTTCAGTGCTGGGCCAAAACATGCCGCTAGCTTACTCAGAATTTTTGAAGCCAGAAGCTGAGCTAAAAGCGCAACAATGTGCTCAATTTCGCTGTTTTTATGTATGACTTTTTCACAATAAAACCGCTTGTAGCTTCGTCTACAGATGCGGGAAGCAGATAAGGAAGACAGATTCGGAGTCAGCGTTTTATACTGCATCGAATGATATACAGCTTCTCTGGTTTGGCCACTTCGACTTCTGACCATTCCCTTGTTAGCTTCGCTCATTCTCTTCGATCGTTACAGGAAGATTTGGAGGGAGATCTGTGCGATTCGAAACTTTCTTCCTATGTCATCACTATGAGATACAACCTCGCTAGATGTTTGGAACACTTGTGCTTGTTCGAAGACGCTGAAGTTTTATACAAAGGCATTTTGAGAGAAGAAGAAAATTACACGGATTGTAAGTTTTTTCAAATTAACATTCTGTGCACTCATTCTAGTGCATCATATTGCAAAGGTTATCTACGTCTCGGATGTCTTGCACGCGATCGAGGGCAGATTTATGAATCATCGGTGTGGTTCAAAGAAGCGATATCCGTTACTGTTGTATAGACCTCGACACGATACCCAATTGACATCGTGCGTCAAAAATGCGTACTTGATATAAAGGCGGTGTACACTACTTACCTCAACCTGTAATTAATATTTTTTCAACTTGTACTTCCTCCCCATCTCTCTGGAGTTGGGAAAATGACTGAAGAAAGTATTGGTAAAACTGATTGATTTTAATTATCACTACTCGTGCTGAAATCTTATATCGTGAGGGTTATTTATCATGCTGATTCCAAAAATGGTACTCATTTTACTTGATAGCCGTTCATCGATTCCCCATAGCTAAGTTTGGAGTTATTTGATGTGCCAAGCGGAAGTGCAGGTCAGAGGTAAGGAGGCTGTCTCTCCAGATTACTTACGTGATTACCGATGTTTCTAGATTGCCTATTCCAATTATTTTTATCACTTCTGACATTCACTGGGCTTTCGATGCTATCGTAGGTTCGAGCGCGTAAGAGGTTACCTAATGTATGATGTTTGGTAAATTTTTTTTCAGACTAATCTATCAAATTGAAGGTATTTTTATGACTTGGAAACTCGGAAGAGCAAGTTCTACCATTGTTTAGACATTATGTGCACAGCAGTCTCGAGTCTCCCATTCATAGAATAGATGATATGCGAAACGAGTATCATCTTTTAACTTGTGCAAAACAAACTAAACAGAATCTAAGCGATTCTGTTCAGTAACGGGCAGCTGCTGCAGCTAAAATAAACGACTATCGAGCAAAATGAGTACCATTTTCGGAATCAGCATTATAAATAACCCCCATGATTTAAGATTTCATCATTACAGACCCAAGAAGGGAAGTACATGGATAGAGCTCTTCAGATGTTTGGTAAAGCGTTGAAAATTGAGCCAAAAACATCTGGGCAGCAAATGGAATAGGTACGTTTCGTATCGGAACAAATGACTAACTTTCTACTTCTTTTTCGATCAAAAACCGTATGTTTTGGTTTAGGCTGCGTATTAGCATCGAAAGCAATGTGGCAAGATGCCCGTGACATCTTCGCTCAAGTTCGTGAAGCTACCTCGGAATTCGAAGATGTTTGGATGAATATAGCTCATGTATATATCGAACTTGGACAATATGTCCCTGCTTTGCAAATGTGAGTTTATGGCGTTCCTCGCTGTTTTGTTTCATGTTGCACAGAATGCTTTTTTGATCTTTTTGTCATTTTCTTACCATGTTAAAACCATATGCTTATACTGTGGTGTTACAAGGTTCTTTTTGCAACTAGGAAATTAGCTTTTCTTTGAATATTCTTATCTCTAACTCCTAGTATGGTTTTTGTAATATGAAGTAACTGTTGTACGTATGCTGGAGATAGATAGATAGATTTTTCGAAAGTTTGAAAAATTGGAAATAAATGTCTTATCTCTTCGTTCTTTCTTCTATCTTCTATCCACAAACGCTGGGGGTGAGAGGGAGGGGGTAGAGTACGGGGTGAGGGTCGCGCTAAACTCCTACCCGGGGGGGGGGGGTCCTATTCGGCTTATTTGGGTGGGGTTTAGAGACAAAATTGGGGTTTGGAGCTTAAAGGCAGCGTCCAGGCAAGTCTGGACCTATGGGGATTTTACATGGAAAGTACTTTTGGGGCCCTAACTAACCCACTACCCAACCGGCGCTCAGGTAGTGCTCTAACGGCTGGGATATTCCTTTCGGAACTGGACCCCGCGATCGTATTCCGCATGGATTCAAGGCGCAAAGCGTGGATCCTGGCGCGAAACTGCCATTAATCCATGCGAATACGTTCGCGGGGGTCTGTTTCGAGGGGAATATCTCCGCCATTAGAGCACTACCTGAGCTGCTGCTTCGGCAGTGCCTTAGTTAGGGCCCCAAAAGTACTTTCCATGTAAAAGCCCCATAGGTCCAGATCTGCCTGGAAGCTGCCTTTAATTAGGGCTAATTACAGTATGCCGCGGCAGACTTGCGGAGCAGAAAATAGGGGGTCTCCGGAGCAGAAAATGGGGGGTCTCCGGAGCAGAAAATGGGGGGTCTCCGGAGCAGAAAATGGGGGGTCTCCGGAGCAGAAAATGGGAGGCATCCGGAGCAGAAAATGGGAGGTATCCGGAGCAGAAATGGGAGGTCTCCGCCGGAGAAATGGGAGGGCTCCGCCGGACAAATGGGAGACCCACCGCTGGGGAAACGCCGCGACCCTGCCATTTCTCCGGCGGAGGGGTCCCATCCGCTGTCTGAGCACCAGATTTGAAGTCATATCATTGTGCGTGCGTTGTAAACGTCGCAATCTGCGTAGCAACGTATTAAGTGAGTGCGTATTACATGTTAATGTGTACTTACGAGATCTCCTTTGCTTTTTCCCAGAATTTTTTTTGTCGCGCTTCTGCGCTAATGTATTTGAAGAGCTTTCGTGAATTGGAACAACTATGAATTTTGAAAGCTTGCCCTAGATTAATCAAATGTATGTAGCCAGAGGCTTAATCTATTAGGTTTTCCTTGGTTTTTTTAAGCCTTTTCATTGTTGAGTTTTCGCTATAATAAGTCACACACTTCTTATTCTAAATAAACATCGAAGATTATTCGATAGAGCAAAGCAAGCTCTATAAGATGGCATTCATGCTTTTGCACAAGCTTTGATCCCTCTCGAGTTTCCAACCAAAACTTAAAAAGTTTCGGATGGCCAGAAACCAAAAAGTTTTTATATCTTCGTTCAAAGAAATCCTACAAATCTCTAACTCGCTCACGCATATATTAGGTTGTCCCGAACGTTTTGTCCATTTTTTTCAAACCACTCTGAAACCAGGCACAATAAAGATCTGAATAAGTCTCAACATGTATCCGATGTAGCTTTTCCTTCTCCTTCTTGTGGATACAATTTCGAACCAAAATCTTTTACTCTTTTTTGATAATCGCCAAAATTCTCCACCCGTCAATTTTATGTGCTCAAAGTTGGGATAATTTTTGAAAATTTCATTCCAAAGTTTCGGAAAAAATTAAGTACTGATCAAATAGAGCAATTCTCGGACTACAAGGTAATATTTTTGGGTTCTATTACTCTGCTGTTTTTAGCTTCAAAAAATTAATTCTTCGGAGGTCTTGATTTTTGGCAAAGTCATGAGACACGCAACTGCAGCAAATACATGATTTTTCTGCGAAATGAAACATGATTCTTATTAAACATTATTTATGCAACATAACCAAGTTTGATTTGCTTGGAAAAATCTGCTTTTTGAATTTTCGATACTTTTAAATGGGTAAACTGAATCAAAAAGCGGCGATTTTTATCAAATAGGTAATTATAACGGACTTGAGAAACGTCATCCATATAATCTAAAATGAGTGCACTGTAGACAAAGGTTTGCTCTACATAACAGTTACTAGCGCTCTTTGAAAACATCAGGATAAAAATTTTCAAAATTCAGGAAACATGGCGATAACATCGCAAAGACAGGGTAGATCAGAAAGCAAGTGTAGCTATAAGAAAGAGCATGAAAATTTGAATCAATTGGTACTTAAGCCGCCCATGGATTGGTGTTCCGTGAACCTTAGTGAGCGATGAAAGAAAACGGACAAAACTTTCGGGACAACCTAATACATTCCACATCAGACATTCATATGTGCTGTTGCTGTATTTTTTCATCAGCTAAAAATCAAGAAATTGAAAATTTCCATGTTTTTACCAAAGTGATGCTGTGCTGTTCTTACACTGACATTTGTATACTAGAAGCCCTTAAAAGTACTACCGTAAATTTTTGGCTCTCCGTATGCTCTGGTTCACGAGAATCAAATCTAGCTTTCTCACTCGGTTTTTCACGCTCAAATCAACATTTCTCGGAAACCAGAGCCTATAGAGTGCTAAAAATTTACAATTGTACTTCCAAGGGCTTGTAGTATAACTTTTAGTGTAAGAACAGCACAGCATCACTCTGGTAAAAACATGGAAATTTTCAATTTCTTAATTTCTAGGTAATAAAAAAATACAGCGACAGCACATATGAATGTCTGATGTGGAATGTGTATGCGTGAGTGAGCCAGATATTTGTAGGATTTTTTGAACGAAGATATAAAAAATTTTCGGTTTACTGACCATCCGAAACTTTTTAGATTTTGGTTTAAAACTCTAGGTGGATCGAATCTGGTGCAAAAGCATGAACGCCATCTTATAGAGCTTTCTTTGCTCTACCGAATAATTTTCGATGTCTATTTAGAATAAGAAGTGTGTGACTTGTTATGGTGAAAACTCAACAATGAAAAGACTTAAGGGACAACCTAATACATAAATTATGAGCCCTTTTGAAATGATAAGGACGAGGATTAACGCTCAGACATCGGCTTCAACATATATTAGGCTGTTCCAAACGATTTATTTGTTTTTCTTTCACGAATATAAAACCCTGTATAATAGCGCTTCAAAAGCATCTGAATACGCATTCGAGGCACGTCTTCTCTTATGTTAGCTATCAAATCAAATGCTTTCGAACACTTCCCATATACAAAAACCTTTCATCCATCTTATCTATTTTTTGTTTGAAATTCTTATTATAGAACTCTGAAAAGATCGCTAACAAACATGAGCAAAACCCGAATTGTGCGAAAATGCTCTAATCTCTGTGATGCTTTTCAAGAGTTCACAATAACATTCATTCGCACAACTCGCTCTTTTGAACCAACCCAATAACTGCGGCAAAAAAACCTAAAAAGTCTCAAAGTTTTTTTGCGATTGAAGCCGTTTATTGTTACCACTTATGGGCAGGATAATCAATATTTGCTACGAAGAAGTAGTCATTTAGAAATTTTGGTACGTTTTTGCGCTAATGTATTTGAAGAGCTTTCGTAAATTGGAACCATTATAAATTTTGAGAATTCGTAGGTAGTGAAAGGCGTTATCTACATAAATTATGAGCCCTTTTTGAAATGTTGAGGAGACTATTTTGGAATTGGGAAACTCTAGCGTTATTGTAAGACAACGAAGAACCATGACCATAACATCGCAAAGGCTAAAAAATACTAAAGAGAAAAAATAGTTCTCAGAGAAAGTGTAGCTTCAGCATACCCTCGATACATAGAGCCACGTACTCTGGTAACCTTCACTTTGAGGGTTATGAGAGGGCACAACCTTCACC